TGTGCAGTTTGTGCTGTTTGTGCAGTTTGTGCTGTTTGTGCAGTTTGTGCTGTTTGTGGGGTTTGTGCAGTTTGTGGTGTTTGTGCAGTTTGTGGTGTTTGTGCAGTTTGTGGTGTTTGTGCAGTTTGTGGTGTTTGTGGTGTTTGTGCAGTTTGTGGTGTTTGTGCAGTTTGTGGTGTTTGTGCAGTTTGTGTAGTTTATACATGTTTGTACGTACAGCCGTGCGCCATTACGTTTCGAGGAGCGTCTGATGGACCTCCACATAGTGTGAAAAAAGAATGGCATATCATGCCTTTTTCTTTCCCCCGCCGAAGAATTAAGCGCGCCGCTACGCTTACGTATGAATGTACCAGTACAGAGGACATAAAAATGTAGAGAGGGGGGCGCGTTTCATTGCAGCTCCAGCCGTTTTTTTCTTTTTTTTTTTTTTTTATATTGAGTCACATAGAAATATTGTTAACATGTTTTCAAAGTGGGCATATATATATTACACAGGTATGTATACAAACGTGTACAGAAAAAGAAAAAAAAATATGCTTACTTTGTGGATACATATATAAAATTTTATTTATGTTTATGAGAACATATGCGTGCTGACCCCCAACCCTCTGGTCTTCCTTCCTTTTTCCTTTTCCATGATTCCTTCCCATTTGAACATTTTTTTCTTATTTTTTTATTTTCCGCCAGCCATCTTGCTTCAGTTTATCCATATATTTTTTTTCTTCATACTTAAGTAGTATATACGTGTCATTGCAGAGGTATACACGCATCTGTGTTTTTAAAGAATTTGTTTTTATCACCTTTTATCTTTCTTTTTCATATGCTTTTTTCCCCCTTTTTTGCCATTTTCGAAAGGAGTCCTTGGGAGGTGTGAATCAGCGCGAGGATCGGCAGGCGCGTGTGTATGCGCGGCATATGTGTACGCCTAAGAGGAAGCCATTTGTGCCCGCGCGCGGGGAGCGCCACGTTTTGCGCGATCATCCCGTTTGCGAAGATTGTCCCCTTTACCGCTTTGTTTGCTAACAGATCCTCCGTGAGGACGGCGGCAGAGTGGCCACGTTTGCCTCAGCCCACTCGTTGCATATACATCCCCCCCGTCGTGCAGGCGAAGGCGCACCAACGCACATGTAGCCAAAACGCCGCACCCCCACATGTGAAGGTGCCAACATCCAGTGCCTACGACCGTGCAGAACACACCAGCAGCAAGTACCCCACTGTACTAGCGGAAATTATTTCAAGCCGTTCGAACCATTGAGGCGAAGCTGTGGGAGGCCCCAAACGAACGACCACACCCACGTTTTGTGATCATCACTCTCCGCGAGTTCGTCCACAAGAAGGTCCACCCCTCGCTCCGTCCATCCGCCCAGCACTTGTGTACCTGTACGTCCACATACACTTGTAGCACGTGCGGGTAGTACACATGACTGTAAGCGTGAGTGTAATCGTAAGTGAAAGCTAACCGTAAGCGTTACCTTTATGCGCCCATCCACGTACACCCCCAAACCAGTGTGATAGTCACTCACAGCCGTGAACATTTTTAATTTCCCTCTCCCCAAGAGAAAAAAAAAAACTTTGGGAATGAAAAATTGAGAAGCAATGAAGAGGTAAAAATTGTGCAGGGAAAAAATAACGCAGTTGATATAGCAATTTATTTTAAAAAAAAAAAAAAAAAAAAAACAATTTCATATAATGAATAGTATAGCAGAAATCGAAAGACGTCAAAGTGAACATTTTAAGAAGTGTAACAGCACGAAGAAGAATAAAAAACGAGTTTGCGATTTCCGTAACTTCTCCAATCATAGGAGGGTTAAAAAAACAGCTGACAGCAGAAGTGACAGAGGAAACAAACATTGGGATGCAAACGCGGTAAAAAATAGAGCGATTTTTTTACACCGAAAGTTTTTTAAATCTTTAAAACAAATGGAGACAAATAAAGGGGAACAAAAAAAAACTTTTTTGAAAAATTGGAACATCAATTATTTATCCAACAATTTGAGCGCGTTTATGAAGGGTGCGGAAAACGTTGCTGGGGACAGGGGTCACAGCGCTAAAAGCGGGTACAATGGTAAAGGAGGCCTTAGTGGGCGAAGCGCGAACAGCTTCAACCACTGCTTTCTCAGCAGGAATGTCGACTCGGAAATGGGCGGCGACGGTCATAATGAGTGCAGCGGTCATAGTGAGGTGGGCGGCCACGGAGAAGGGTCTAGCGAAGTGTACAGTCAAGTGAATCACCGCAACGTCTACACTCCCGAGCAGAATAGCCCTAACTTGCCCCACACAGCGTACAAACAGGTACAGGGCAACGCCCCAAATGTAAACAACTTCCATCCTTATGAACATGTCCAGTCATCAACAAAGGAACATAATCACTACGCCGACATCCGAGGGGTATTGGAGAAGATAAAGAGCAGGAGTAGTCTATCCAATTTTGTAGGAACTGTGATTCAGGACGGCGTCAACGTTGTTAGCGACAAAATTGGTTCTTTCAGCGAGAGCGGCTACGCGGAAGACCCGAGCAGAAGCGACGACTGGAGTAATCACATCGGAAGCGCACATTATAGCAGGGTCAAATACGACTTTCCCTACGGAGATCAAACCGGAGAAAACGAAAAATACCATATAGCATCGAGCAATAACAGAACCACTGGTAATAGTAGCAGCCAAAATAACGGCAATGGGAATAGCCAACAGAGCGGAAAGGGTGGAAGTAGCACCCAAAATAACTATAACAATAAGGACACGGGGGGGGGAGGCACCAACAGCAACAACTACAACCATAGCGGTAGCGGCGGTTATAACAACAGTGCCAGTGGGTATGCAAATGGCAGATTCCCTAATGGAGCAGGGGGCAACGAAAACAATGATGGTGGCGACGGTGATGAGGATGGTAATAATGGGCACTACGGCCGAAGTGGCAGGTGCGATAATAACGGGGAGAGCAACGACGAAGACGATGATAACGAGGACGATAATGGAGATGGAGACAGCGATCGACATGGGGAGCGAAGAAACGATCCGAGTGGATACCAGAACGATCGAGTAGACAACCCGTGCGATCGAAACGGGACGATGTACTCAAGAAATAATGGCTCCTCCGCATCAGTAACGTCGTCCTATATTAACGCAGATGCCCAGGCATCGAATAGCGATGCTATGAAACATCAGTTCCAAAAGAGACGCAAGAGTGGGCGAACCACCTGTCCACCTGGAAACAACAGCAACAATAGGCGAAGCAGTAACAGTGCTAGCAGTGTCAACTTCGTAGAAGGAGGAAGCAGCAGCAACGGGTATGGCGAGTATAATAACAGCGAAGTCCAGTATGCCAATGCAGAGAGGAGGACCAACCTTAATGTAACGAGAAGAATAAAAGAGGGTAGCATTGAATATTATAATCCGTACACGATGGGAATGGGAGGTAGTCACAACAGATCCGCCACGGAAGCACCTAGTCATAACCGCGGAAATTACGACTGCAGTGATGGTCATTATGGAGATAACTACGGAGGAAGCGGCGCGGGGGGGAACTCCACCAGCAGTCGTGGGGGTGCTAGCCATGGGGGCGACCTCCTCGGAAGGAACAACAGAAGCAACAGCTACGGGGACATCCGAAGTAATGGGGACGGTGGGAACGACGGGAATAACGGAAACAGCGGAAGCACCAATAATCATGAGACCAACTTAGGCCCCACCAACTCTATGATGAAAAATATTGGGAATAAAAGAAATTACTTGGCCAATGTGAATTATAAGGACATGGGACCCAACCCCAGTTACTGCAAACAGGGCGACAGCAACAGCCACGTGAGCAGCCACAGGAACAGCTTCAGCAGCGGCGGGAACCACAGCAAGCAAATAAAGAAGGGCCGAGACTGCGGAGATAGCGGCGACAGTGGCGATAGCAACCATAGCAATCGTAGCGATGACCTTGGTAACTGCGACGATTGCCGTGATGGCGGCAATAATGACGACGGTGATGACCCCAATGACCGCAATGATCGTGACGACGAGGAGGATCAAATGCAGAAGCGACACGTGCACGGCACGAACTCGGAGATGCTCAACCCGGAGGACAGGAAGAGAGAAGCGGAAAAGTACAAAGTGCTGGGAAACCAAAGCTACAAACTGGGATATTTTGAATCTGCCATCGACTACTACACGAAGGCAATTTCATATGACAACACTAATCATGTGTATTACACAAATAGGGCCCTCTGCTATAAGAAGCAGAAATTGTGGAAGCTAGCCAACAGTGATGCAAGACAGGCCCTAAACTTAGAGGAAGAATCCGTAAAGGCACACTTCATTCTCGGATTGACCCTTCTACATCTGAACAGTTTAGAAGAGGGCTTAAAAAAGCTAACCAAAGCGAAGACCCTATCCAGCTATTTAAAAGACTCAAACGAAAGCGAAATCAACAGATACATATTGCAAGCGAAAAAGTTAATATACCTTCGAGACGAACAGAACAAACAGCTAACCTACACCGAGCTGCAGTCCTTCCTAATTGATAAAATTAACTTACTCAATCAAATTGGCTACATATCGAATGAGGAGAAGTTTTTACGAACTCAACAGACAGAGAATCTTTTCAAAGAGGTCTTAAATTCTTTCCAAAAGAAACAGATACCGGATTATTTGTGTTGTAAAATCTCCATGTGCTTAATGAATGAACCGGTCATTACTCCTAGTGGCATGACTTACGATAAAATATTTTTGTATGAACACGTTAAGCATAATGGGTCATTCGACCCGGTTAGTCGAGAGCAGTTCTCCATGCGAGAGGTTATTCCCAATTATGCCATCAAAGAGGCTACGGACAATTTTTTGAAGTCCAACCCGTGGGCCTTCGAGGAGTAACAAAGTTGCAGAGGGGGCACGCTTGTACGATAATGGGTGCCAGTTATCCGGTGTGACTGCGAGGCGGGAGAGCTACAAGGGGGAGGAACGTCTATATATATATATTTTATTTTTTTTTTTACTATCTGCACATTCCGAACGTCATGTCGTTTTAAAGGGAACTGAACGTTATGTGACGTTGAACCCATTTTTAAGCCCCTCCCCCTAATGCCATCTTTTGTGAATAACGAAGCGATCGTGTGGTTGGCCCCCCAGGTTGTTTCCCCTCCTTGTGGCTGTGCATGCGGTTGTGTGGGGCACCTCATCTGGAGTACGTCGTGTAGAATACGTCGTGCAGAATATACCGTGTGTGCAGCTTATCATGCGTGTAATTTCTTTTTTTTTTTTTTTTTTCTTTCCCATTTTGAAGAGGAAAAAGAATCTTGACGAGAGAGGAGCGAACGGGGCGCGCTAACCTGGCGTGCGTCTGTACCTATTTGTTGGCATATGACTGACCACTTCCCCCCCTCAAGCGCATCCTCGCCCCGCATGTGTATGACCTCTTCCCCCAAAGGGATTTTTTTCTTTATCCACCCCAGTTATTCCTCCCATTGTTGTTATTATTCCATTTTTTTAATTTTTTTTAATTACAAACCTTTTTTTCAAGTCCCAATTCGAAGCGACAGTACCGCCTACGTGGTTAATTGATAAGCCGGATTGCACGCTGTAGTCTCCAGGGGGGGATAAGCACTGCGTTTGTCACCTTAGCACCTGAGTGAGGAGAAAACTCCCCATTTTGGCCTCACCGACTGAGTATTACTAATCGATAGCATTTATATGGCCCCTGCGCTGATCATATCACTTTGGCTTCGTTCAGTGTAACCTTCTTCCCATTGTAGCATTTGGGATGCACTTCCCTCGCGGCATGCACGGTGGCTACTCTTCTTCTGCAGAGAGCTGCGCCGTTTGGGACATCGCATTTTTGATTTGCACTTCCCGTCGATGCTGCGAAATGGGGGAGCGAATTTGCCGAAAAGGTGCACCCTGAAACAATTGCCCCCCATAGATGATGTAACGGATCCAGTTAAGAAGCAAAAAAAAAAAAATAATGCCACATGGAGCGTCTCCGCTCAAGCCAAGGCAAAGCCTATCAGCAACAGGCGAACTGTGCGAATGGACGCAACAACGATGGTCGCAGTTTCTTTTTATCGTTGGCCCAAGTGATAACTACGCAGCATTATGTAGTATCCCTTAGGAGCGTTGCGTGTGCCAGTTTTTTTTTTACCATTGTGTGGAAGTTAATCGATTTGCTTGGATCCCCGCGGCGCATATTTTTTACAGAGTGGGGGTGTTTTGCCTCTCCACATCCGCGCCCTGAGCAATGAGCGGCTATAATGATCGTTTTTACTTCCTTGCTTTGGCTGGTAGCTTACTCGATAGTCCTCCTGAGCGTCTCCCTCGCATTCATTCGACAGTCCCATTCGGTCGTAGCGAAATCGAGTTCCTTAAAAAAGGCGCCGGGTGGGAAGTGCTATCTTCTAAGCAGTCATGTTAAGAGAAGGACGTCGCATCAGCTGCGGCCCCCAAATGGTGATGAGGACAGATGTAGGAGATGGTATCATATATTTTACTACCCTGATCACCGGGGGGGGAACCATTACCATGGCGGGGACCATCACCATGGGGGGAACCAACACCATCGGGGAAACTCCGAATTTGTTCGGAAGTTTAACAAAAGGAACTGTTTTCTAAAGCCAGCCATTTTTTCAAAAAGTGAGCAGCATAAACTCTGGGCAGATGTGCAGGATTCTTTTGGCCAGGGCGTCGACCATGGGATGGAGGAGCATGTAGACAGAGCAGCCACAAACAGAGAGAACCACCCCGTTGAGGAAGTAGGAAATACGGATGGAGACGACGAATTCGACCTCATTACCGACCACATCTTAGTTAGAAAAAATAGAAAATCCATCAAAGAACTCATGGAAGCAGGCATTTGGGGAGCCCCAAAAGAGAACCTCAAAATGATTAGAGAGAGGACAAACAAAAAAATAAATTGGAATTACATCCTAAAAAAGAACAACAAACTTTTAAGTGATAATGTTGACCACATATACAACGAAATTTACAGCAAAGAAAATGTGGATGATATTTTTTTCGTTTTCGATACGAACCCGTATAGCTATTTAAACATCACGATGAGTGTCTTTTCGCTGCACAAAATTACGACGAGTTATTTGAATGAAAGGCGACAGAGAGTAGGTTGTTCTTTTAGAGGAAAGAAGGTGGACGTGCTGCCGTCAAGTGGGCAAAGTAAGGATCCACTGAGGGATGACCGTCCGAATGATAACTTCCTCACCATGGACGGAGGCGGCGAGGACACCTACGGAGAGGTGGACGATCGGAACATCCTAAAGCTGAAGGAGGAGAGGAAGAGACTAAATGACATCACGCGGAACAGGAACTTTATGAGAATAGTAGGAAGCATAAACAAGCATCTTAAAATTATATATAAAATATTTTCCACAAATGAGAAGTTAACCACCTACGAAAAGAATAGAGACATGTACAAATTCATTCCCTACATAAACATCAAGGATATTATCACCATCTTGAGATGCTTCTCCATTTTGAAATTCGACCACACCAATATTTTTAAGTACATATATTTTTTCCTCGTTTTTTTTATGGACCAGTTCGATATGTACCTGCTGTGTGAGGCTGTGTACCTTTGCTTGGTGAAGAAGATTTACGTCCGCCCTCTCTTCCTCAACTTTTCGAAGCGCCTTCTGGGGTACCTGCAGAGGGGAGAAAGGGGAAGCAATAAGGGAAACATTACGGGAAGTGGTACGGGAAGTGATACGGGACGCGCTGATCCTGTGATGAAGGATGCCTCGAACGATGGCGCTATCGCGGCCGATGTTGCCTCGCTCTCACCGTACGACGAAGGAAACTTGGAAGTCTTCTGTCGCAACATGGAGCAGGCATTGCAGAGGGACGACCCCGAATCGGACTATTTCGCCTCCTCCCCCTTTCACATGAAGCACTTCAGCTACTCTCTCTACCACAATGCGAACTACTCCTCCTTAAACAACTCTCAAGATGAGCTGGAGAAGGGAAAGCAGCGAAAAAGTGATGAGGTGAACAGATTTGCTGCCCAAGATTTGAGACACGAGAAAACGGAATTTATCGATTCGGGAAAAGAACAAAGCAAGTCGAAGGAACCAACAGAAGTGACGTCTCCCTCCACGGTGGATAATCGACCCATCTGCTTCCCTGTCTACTGTCTCTACACCCTGTGCAAGTTCCCCTACACGAATGTACAAATATTAAATATCATCACGTCTCAAATTATGGAGAAAGCACCAGAGCTAAGCATAGAAGAGCTGATTCTCTCCTTTTACAGCCTCGCTGAGTTGGAGGTCGACTCTCCTAAGCTTTTGAATGTCCTCTTTTTGCTAATTTTTAAGTGTCTTCATTTTTTAGACCACAGAAATAACGGCCTGGTTACCAAGCTGATAAGAGCCTTGTACATGGTTGACGGGGAGATTTCGGCTCCTCCGGGTGAGGAGAAGCGCTGTGAAGAGGTGAAAACACTGATGCTGCATTATCTAGCCAAAATGGTCTTTCATAATCGAAACAACTACACGCCGATCGAACTGGTTGATATCATTCGGTACATGTCAGGCCTCGCACACATCGACAAGGAACTATTCAATTTCGTCTACCAGATGCCATTTTTACAAAATTTGAATCAAGACACATTGGATTATTACAAGAACAACGTCTATTTTAATCAGTCCTATTATGCGTACACCAAAGACAGCAGCGTTAACACTCCCATCGAGATAATGGTGTGTAAGCTGTACCAGTCGTACTTGGCATACCGCGCGTGGGGGGTGGGGTCATCAGAGACGGGTTGTTTGCAACAGGAGGGTGCTTCACCACAGACGGGGGACATCCCTGCTCTGCAAGCCATCCTCGTGCACAACGACAAGGTGAAGCCGTTTCAGTACGGACCAAGGCTGCTGCAGCTGCTGAAGCAAACCTACACAAACAACATGCGCATATCCTCCTACAGCTCCTCCTCACTGCACTACGAAATGGCAGACATAATTAAGAAGGATTTAAAGATTCCCTGCCATGTAGAATACGTGACAGACAAAGGGCTTTTCATTGACATTGTGATACTTCGCGAGGACTTGCTAAAATTCGATGCGTCTTTTTCTGGGCTTCGTAACATCGCCATAGAGGTGAATGGCCCGTTCCACTACAAGACCAAGTCATACAGCGGGGGAATTCCACACCTCAACACGAAAACGGTCGTCAAGCGGAGGTGAGCGCTAGCGGCGGGGGCGAGGCGGGTCGGCCTCGCTCCTCCCGGTTGATTGTTCCCCAGTTTGGCAATCTTTCATTTGTTATTTTATTTTCCCATTTTTTTTTCGCATCCTTTTTTCGCAGGCTGCTGGAGCACGACAACTGGCACGTCATCTCCCTCCCCTTTTGGGAGGTGAAGCCATGGTAGGTTCGGGAGTTCCACTAGGGAAGATGCGGGCACGGCAACCCACCTGGGCTTCTCACCCCCATTTTTTTCCTATTTTTGCCCCATATTTGTCTCATTTTTTTTCCACACTTGTCTCTTTTTTGCACCTCTCCCCAGGTTCAGCAAGAGCAGAAAGGAAAACTACATCTTGCGAGTGCTTCCCGATGAACTGAAGTCCTTTTTCAGTGACAAAGTCGGGGCGCCTTAACATTACCAAGCTGGGCGCTTCCCCTGTGATGAATGTGATATATTCGATGTCATCGCGAATTTGCTTCGGTAACATAACATTGTTTTTTTTTTTTTTGTCAATCGGGTCATGTCGTGGGGTTATTTGGAAAGTGTGCCATTCGAAGAGTGCCACTCAAAGAGTGATCATTGGTATTATGGACACCCCTATGTCGGATGCGTATTCCTATTTTCCACGTGCCCCCGAATTATCCTCCTCCCATTTTGCTCTTGTTTAATAAACAGAAAATAAATATATTAAAACATCCCTTAGGGGTAGTCCCTTGTTTGGAAAAAAAAAAAAAAAATGGCTCCTTCACCTTTGCGTGATTTTTAAGTTGCCACATTGGGGAGCAAACGTGCATGCATATGAATGTTACTTACCATGCATACTTTAGTGAAAAGAGGACAAACGGGAAATTTTCTCCCCCGCGCACCTCTAGTGTGCCCCCCTTTTTTTCTGTTAAAAAATCCAAACAAATTCAACTCATCAGAGGAAGGGTAGTTCCTCCTGTTGTATGTCATAGAAGGACACTTTTGCATTCCTCTCTCGTTTTGTTTGCGTGGCGGCTCCTATGGCAAGATAGTAAATATGAAAAAAAAAAAATACACCTAGGTGTTGGCTACTCCCTGTGCTGAAGTTAACGCGCCGTAGCTGAGTAACATTTCTCAAAAAAAAAAAAAAAGTTAAAGGGAAGTAGCCCCTATATGGTTCCTATATTTTGTATAAATATATGTCACCCTAAGGGCTCTAGCCACTACGTGAAATTTTCCGAAAGGGCAAAATTGGCAGCAGTGGAGCTTCCAATTCAGTCATGAAGGCATATGAGTGTTATGCCCAAATGGTTAGCAAGAAAAAGAAAAAAAGGGAAGAGGCGGATAAACGTCTGGTTGAAACAAAACGATTGATTGGTTGATTGATTAATTGGCTGATTGCTTCGTTGATCGTTTGGCTTTTTCCCCCAGTTTTTTCAGGAAGAGCGAAGAGAACAGGCAAAACGGGAAAGATCAAAGTCCCCTCATTTCTTCCTTGGGTTAATCGCTCGCAAGTAAGAAGAGGGTTCATCCGTTTGGGCATCTTCTTGCGGAGGAATCGCTTCACAGTGGCAATCTTGGAGTGATTCGGAAAAGGAACCCCACCACGAACACGCTAAACTCCCGTCGCCCTTGAGAGACGCCCCCCAAAAAGGCCCCTCTTCGCGTGAAACCTCAATTTCCCGCAAAACGCTGCTCCAGCGATCCGCTCCTCAATCGACCCCCTCCTCCAGCCACCCTTTCCTCCCCTTCCTTAGAAACCATGCCGCAGAACGATTACATCGAGCTGCACCGAAAACGGTATGGCTACCGATTTGACTACTTCGAAAAGTCGCGAAAGAAGGAGGCGAGGAAAGTACACAAGGAAGCACTAAAAGCAAAGAAGCTGAGAGGAATAAAGGCAAAAATATACAACAAGAAAAAATACACAGAGAAAGTCAATCTAAAAAAAACCATAAAGGCCCATGAGCCGAAGGACGTAAAAATAAACACAAAAATAAATGATGACAATGGATTGCCATCATACCTCCTTGACAGAACACAAGTGAAGGGAACAAAAGTTTTAACCAATCTACTTAAACAGAAGAGGAAGAGCAAGGCAGGAAAATGGGAGTTACCCATCCCTAAAATACAGGCCCTAAATGAGGCTGAGATGTTAAGAGTCGTCAAATCTGGAAAGAGGAGAAGAAAAACATGGAAACGACTCATCGATAAAATTTCCTTTGTTGGAAATGACTTTACGAGGAAGAATCCTAAATATGAAAGATACATTAGACCGAGTAGCTTACGTTTTAAGAAGGCCAACGTATACCACAGTGAATTAAAGACGACCTTTTCTCTTGATATCATAAGTGTGAAGGTCAATCCGCAGTCCAATTTGTACACTAACTTGGGCGTTATTACCAAGGGCACCATCATCGAGGTGAACGTCAGTGAACTAGGCCTGGTTACGCAGTCGGGGAAGATCATTTGGGCCAAGCTCGCGCAGGTCACCAACAACCCTGAACTGGATGGATGCATAAACGCGGCACTCCTCGTGTAGGAGTCGCCTCGGCCGCTTCGCTAAGCTGCAGTATCTGCCCTACGTTGCGTAGATCTTCGTAGATCTACCTATATCTGCGAGGATCCGCATAGATGTGCTTAACTTTGCGCAGCATTTCCCTCCCCTGACGATTTGCTTCTCCATTTTTGTAATATTCGTCTGATTTGTCCGGGAGCCACGCGGAAAAGGACACACATTGCGGGCGTTCCTCGGTGGAGCTGTTTTCCCCTTTTCCACCCCACCTATGCATATAAAAGGTCCCGCATGGCACAGGGACTTTTCTATTTCGCCATGCTTCGCATTGCTTTACCTTCCCCGTTTTTTCTTTTTTTTCTTTTTCTTTTTTGTTCTCACCCATTCCAAGACAAAATTTGTTTACACCCGCGTGTACGCGTGTTAAAAAGGGATCGCCTGTAGGGCTGATTGGAAAGAACGTGATTGTTGTTTGTCCCCTTTTTATGCGGCCAATTGTGCGAACCATTTTGGGGCCCCTTTCCCACCCCGCGATGGAAGTGCTGCAAAATTTGCAAATATTCATTCGCGCCAGCTGAGAATGGAATGGCATTTTCCTGTCGTGATCTGTGGGCACAGCTCGGCGTGCTCGGAAAGGAAAAGAAACCGAGGGTCCACAGAAAGGTGCAACTCGTTTTGGGGACCCACACCAAGGCATTTGTCTGTAAGCAGCCAGCCGAGCAGCTAACCAAAAGGCAGGCTACGCGGCAAGCTCAGCGGAAAACGGATCGGCCAATTTAATCTCCCCCCTTCCGTGACACACCGGCTTCACCCCCATTTTTTGCTTCCTCATTTTTGGCGATAAAACCGTTGTGATGGACGAGGCTCTAATTTCTTTTTTTTCTTTTCCTACAAAAAGTATGTGCCCCCCTGAGAGCGCCTTTGCGTCCATTTTGCAAAAGGGTCATCTTGCGAAGGAGTCTATCGAAGCGAAAAAAAAATAACATACCCACACACGCACGAGCAAATTTTTAAGCGCATAAACACTTTAAGTGCATGAAAATTTGAAGTGCTTCAAAATTTTAAGTGCATGGAAATCTGTTACGTAATTAATTGCGCCCACGTGGCAATTCGCAACCCTTAGGTGTACGCGCCGTGTGTCGGCGATTTTGCCAACACGCCTCTTCTAGTCCTGAGGTTAGGAGCAAGCATTGCGCCGAAATTGTGCGTGTCCGCAGAAGGTCCACCATTTAGGGCACGAAGTTTGAAACGTTTCCTTTTTTTCTCTTTTCCATCCATTTAGAAGCTTACAATTTATCACCCCATCAGTAGCCACTCTCACGATTGTTACTCCTCCCTGGAGGGATACAAACCTGTATAGGAAGTAGGAAGTACAAAGTACGAACGTGGGAAGCACGCACAAACGTAAAAGAGGTGAAAAAAAAAAGAAACGGGGGGGAGACTTAGGCCTGCTGTTTTTTCCCAACTTATACGCACAGCACACCAAATGGAAAACGTGTTCGATAACAAGAAGGAGCTACGCCTCGGGATGCGCGTGTTCAGCTGCGCTTTCGGCGATAAGAAAGTAGCACACGTGGAGGGGGTAGCCATTGAGGGGGACGGGGAAGATGACGAGTCCAACTCGTCTGACACTTCGTTGTCCGGCTGCGTGGCGGACGAAAACCTAATCAGGTACCTCTTCAACGAGCAGATAAATATAAAGATAGGGACGGTGCGCTTCATGGGCACGCTGAAGAATTACCCGCATCCAAACAAGACATTTTACGGAATCGAATGGGACAACAAAACGGAGGGAAAGAACTTTGGAGATTTCAATAACGACGTTTACTTCTTCGCCTTAGACCTACTCAAAAGGGAAAAAACGAAGAGGTACTACAACGGGGGTGATCACACATTGAGCACGCCGATCGAGCGAAACAGAGAATTTGTGGAACAACTTCGCACTTGTAAGAAGTACCTTAAGCCGTGCTCATTCCTGCCAGTGGAAAAAATACACGTAGGGTTAACCTTTTTTCAAGCCCTACATTTTCGATACATATATTTCTCCACCGACTCGGATCTCTACGTGGAGGATTATCAAACGAAGAAGACCAAGAGGGTTCAATTCAGTGGAGTCACAGAAGCGAGAAAGTATTTCCAAAATTTTTATCAACTTACAAACATAACCCTAAATAAATACTTAATATACACCTGTGGAGGAGGTGACAAGATAGTCTTTCACCATCTTCGTAGCTTGTCTCTCTGTGGGAATCTCATCAGCCAGTGGAAGGACATCTTTGATATTGTTAGTTTGGCGAAGGAGCTGTCTTACCTGAACGTGTCGGATAATAAAATGTCAAAGTTGAGTCTGGAATCGGTTCTGTGTCGCTGCTTGCGTGGCTGCCTATGTGGTCATAGCAATGCATATAAAGAGGGACAACATCAGGAAGGTACAGTCACACCGGGGGGGGATCCACTCAAATGTAGACACTGCATGCAGGACCACCTAATCCGATTTGAACAAATTAAAGAACTATGCATTGACAACACCATGATCGATTGGGAAGATGTCCTAATTCTGTCGTTCGTTTTTCCCAACATGGAGACACTTAGCTTGAAAAAGAACTACCTCACGAGCATTCCAATGAGGGACGTGAACCTCGTCAACTCGCCTCTTCTCCTCCAGTACGTTCAACGTGACAGACGTGAAAAGGAGTGTCCTTCCGAGACGCACAATGGCTTTTCACATCACCACATCGCGCAGCAAGGCGCACCTAGCATGGAATCGAACGAGACGGCGAACGAGGGAAACATACACACCTTTACCAAGCTACACAAAATCGTACTCAACGATAACTACCTGCACGATTACGAAGACCTGTTCTGCTTCATCTGCCAGGTGAAATCCATTCGGGCCGTCTTCATAAAGAGGAACAAATTTGCAGACAGGGACGACTTAGTGACCGTTGCGGAGGGGGTATGCTCAGGGACGGGAAAGAAGGGGAAGAAGGACGAGGAGGGGAAGCACGACAAGGAAGGAAAGCAAGACGAGGAAGGCAAACAAGACGAAGAAGGTAAGCAGAACGAGGAAGCCAAGCAGGACAAGAAAAAAGGCGAAGGGACCCCCCCCCCGGACCGACTCCAACGGATAAACAAAAAATTCAGCCACTTGAAAGAACTCCTGCTGGATGAAAACAAAATTAACAACTACAAAACCATGCGAGATTTGTTCTACGTTTTTTACCACCTGGAGACGCTAAATTACCAGAAGGGAAAAAACAACTTGAAGGTGAAGAAGGACCTCCGGTTCATATTCGTGGCCATCCTCCCCATGTTGAAAACACTCAATTGGAGCTCCATAAACAAGAGCGATCGGATAAACTCGGAGCGCTTCTTCATATCTCTTTACCAGAAGGACGACGTGGTCAGGGTGTTTAACGAGCCCGTGCTCGGCTGCCGCCACAGCGACCGTCTGGAGTGCCTGCACTACGAGGCCCTGAAGGGTGAGTTCCCGCTTGGTATGCACCGCGTTTGTGCTATTTCTGCACCGATTTTACACCTCATCTGCACTGCTTTTACACCACTTCTGCACCAATTTTACACCTCTTCTGCACCATTTCTACACCGCTTCTACACCGATCCCCCCCCTTGCAGATCAACCGAGCGTCGAAACCTCCAAAGGCATGCAGAGTAACCTCATCAATATCACCATCATCCCCGAATTTCTAAATTCCAAAAAATATGATATCGTAAAGAAAAAGGTCAACAAGCACATGAACATAAAAGATTTGAAGTACCTGTGTTCGCGACTCTATTCTGTCCCCCTCCCCAAGATGCAATTATTTTACACGGACGAGGTGGGTCACTCGAGATAAGCACAGAAGAGGCGCACAGGACACGCACTCGAGATAAGTGCACCGGTGACGCACTCCTTGTGGAGTCTCGCATGTACACATCTGGAGATTTGCTTCAACCCAAGATGGGCACGTCATCCGTTTGCGAAGCTCCCATTCGGCCATTATGCACTACTTCATTTCATCTACACTGCGCGTTGTATACCATCCCATTTTGAACCTTTTTTTTTTTCTTCTTCATTCTTTTTTTAGAACAACCCTATGTGTGTTGAAATTGTGGACAGCAACTCGAGTCTCTACACGTATGGAATTGACAACAACTCGAAGATAAAAATTAAGATGGAGCAGTAGAAATACCTCTGGAGGAGTTCCCTAGCTGGATGAGGATGCTCGCCTATGCATGTAGGGGGTGTACGCACCTTGCGCCATTTTTTTTTTTTTCTTTTCCTTTTGGTCTCCCCCCCTGTCGTCCCGCTCGCCCCTCTCGCGGTGAACGTTTCTTCACCTGTATGTTTAGTCTGTGTTGAGTTGGTTTCTGTGTTCTATCCCACATTTTAGCGCAGGACCAACAAGATAAGATGGCTTTCCCATCGTTTCCAGCGCATGACAGACGATATATGATGAGCCAGTGTGCTGTGGATAACTTAAATCGGACAAATGGCCATCTCGATATCACCCTATGGGGAAATTAATCCACTTGTGCTTTTGTTTGTACATCTTCAGTTAAAACGTTTTCATATTTTTCGCGTGATCATTTGGTCGAGTGAGCCATCAAAACGTCCATTTTTTTATTTTATTTTTTTTTCTATTTTTTTTTTTTTTTACGTGTTTCTGTGTCACTACAACGTACCCCCCCCGGCTGTGCTCGTCTGTCTGCGTCCCGCAAGGGGGCAGTCATACGTCGGAGCGGGATTGACGTTATTTCGTTTTTCACTTCGTCACTTCCCCATCACGGCACTTCTCTATCATGCCACTTCCCCATTTTGATTAATGGGGAATGTCAAAAAGGGAGGCACCTCCCAGCGTGACAACTCAAGGCAACTTCGCCCTATTTTTTTCGTAAAAATTGCCGAGTTCGTTTGCAAGACCAACCAGCGTCCTGCTAAAAATGTGTGTACCTGAATGGAACCCCAACATACACACCCCTCAGGAGTACACCTGAGGTGGAAAGAAAACCATTCCACGAGGGACGTGTGTAGTGGAAGACAACTATGCACGTGGTAGTTCTTTTTTTTTATATTCCTGCATGTACGTTAAAAGGAGGTAAAAAAAAAAAAAGAAAAAAAACAACCTCCTAAAATGGCACTTTCACTCATTCCATTTCAGGAGTAACAGTCGGGGTGCAAACACCTTTCCTCGTCTCACGCATTTTAAAAAAACCAATGGTCATTGTAGGCACTCCACTTTGGCAATATAATATATTCACACTTTTTTTCTTTCCCAGAGGTGAGTTTATCACACAGGGGAAGAGCGATGTTTGTAATGTCTCTATGCACTCTTCTTACCATGCAACGAGGACAGATTTAATTTTTTGGCGCATATAAGAAAGGGAAAAAAAAAAAAAAAAAGAGAGAGCTGGACTCCCCCCCTCCTGTGCCCCAAAAAAAAGGTTGAGACATCCCCCTTTGGTGAGACAACCTTTTGCAGCTGTATATTTGGCCACGAGTTTGAGACACGATCGAGAAGTTGTCACACACGGTGAGAACCTGGCACCAAGTCGTAGGAGTCGCTTCAGTCAAACGCAGCCAATTCAAATAAAGAGGAGGGGGGGAAAAAAAAAGCACGCGCTCACAAAGGTAGGCACGAAAAGGCAAACTCTTAACGAGCCCAGCGCGAGCCATGGAGGAACGCCCCACGGGCATGAGGAGCCTCCCCTTGACGGAAAAAAAAGGCGAAGCGAAGAGGCCAATCCAGTCCAGCGCCGACGCCCCTACAAAGGAAGACCTCGAGATATCTTTCCACTTGCCCAACGGAGAGACCCTCACAATGTTGGAGAACGCAGGCATAGAAGTTGGCCATTTGAAACTAAAGCTGTCGAAACTGTTGGGGAAGCCCTATCAGCAAATCTTCTTAAGGTATAATAATATGTCCATGCTGGATCCCTTGTCTATAATCGACGTGACTAAGAAGGCCAATTTGCAAAAAATCGACATCGAGGTGGATTATTCCGATTAATGCAGTTTGACTTCTTACATGCTAAGTGGGTACGAATAATTCCTTCCCCTTCTCCTTCTCCTTCTTCCACTCCTATTTTTTTTTTTCTTTTTCTCTTTTTCTTTTTCCCTTCTTTGCACACAACTGAACTAAAAAAAAATGATATAATACTCTTTCCCAAAAATATAATCACTTCTTTTGTAAACAAATCGGGTAAAGAAAAATTCGTCTTCATTTTCAGTGTTATCCTGAAGCGGCTATAATAATGGGGCCCCCTATTTGTAGCCCCTACCCCCTCCCCTACAACTTCCTCTCATAAATATTATAGCAGAGAAGCTTGTCCATCATGTCCGCGTGGGTCAGGATCATCCTCCTGCAGCAGTATCTCGTTAAATTTAGTTCGTCTAGGGCGTCACACTTGGACACTCCTTCTTCTAATTTCTTTTCGTACAGGCTCCAGAGGTTTCCGATAAGCTTCCCACAGGTGAAGCAGCGCACGGGGATGATCATTTTGGTTCTTCGTCTTTTCCGGGGCGTTGCTTCGGCTGGCGCGGGGGGTCGCACGCGCCTACGTACGTATATATATATGTATATTTATACGTTTTGTTTTTCCGTGAAAATGGGGTGCTCTTGGCTGGTTGCCTCCCAATCCCTCTTTTGCTATGTAACTTCGGTTCACTTCCTCACGCTGTCCCCGCGGAAAGGGAACTCCAAATATGCGTATCATGGAACGCCGCGTGCCACCCGTCTCTCACTAAGCAGTACCTTCTCCCACTGTTGCTCAACTTCTCCGTCGTTTTATCGCGCATACATATATATACGTATGCATAAATATGCCTCTTTTTTTTTGTAATGCCCCTTTTATTGTATACTCCCCCGAGTCCAACTTTCTGCAGTGCTGTATTTTCCCAGACTGAATCAAAGGGGAGAGCAAATCTTTTTAAACAAGGAACAAAATTGTTCAGTTGAAAAAATAAGCAAAAGGGGAACAAAATAACCCACAGTCTGTTCGCCTATTTTGGTAGGTTCTCTTTTTCGCGTCACAGAAATGGGTAAAATGAAAACGAAAAAAAACCGGGGTAAAAATACACGTTACCATATTTGCTGTATAACGGCAGCAACAGCTCGTTTCGGATTTTTTTTTTCTTTTCGTCTCTTCGCCTTGCAGCGGCGCCTCCCTCTGCAGCTCCCAAAATGGGAGGGAAAAAATGAAAGGAAAATAAAGGGGCGAAAAAAAAAGGCAAAATTGGTGCGGAAAATAAACAGCGGGAAATCGCTTAAACGACAGGGTCATCCCGCAGGTGGAAAAATATCCACTGGAAAAGATGCTGGCCAAATGATGGGAAAATGATCTGCATAATTATTCTCAGGTTATTCTCAAAATTTTCCCAAATATTCCCCAACCCATCCGCTTCGTCGCTGGCCCGCTTTGTCTCTGACCCGCTTTGTGGCCGACCCGCTCTGCTGCCCCTTTTGCTCGGCACCACCCCACAGGGCTACAGGTTGTACGCGACGCAACTCATGTAGCGCTCCACCTTGCGCAAGACGTGATGGAAGTTGTGCCTGCACTTCTCCTTCTTCCCCTTCACAAACGCGACAAACTCCTTGCCCGAGTGGCTCACATTTTCGGAGAAGGAATAAATATCGTTATTCGATATGAACTCATCGGAGTAGTTAAAAATGGTAGATGCGTACGTCATAGGTTTTGTATTTATTTCATACTTTGAGTTTGTCGTGAAGTTGATTACATGGTTGGGGGGGAGGTGGTCCGTCCTAGTGTTGGTCACCTCTCCGGGGGGAATGACACCCCCGCGTTTTCTTCTGTGGAAGGTGTACATGTTGTGCCAGTCTTGGGAGTCCACCCGGGAGACATCCACTTCCGTCCGAATGAAACTCTGACTCTTAATTCCTTCCACCACGTTGGTGAAATTTAAAATGGGGTTATACCTTAGAATCTTATCTATGCCGATGAGGTGTCTGTTGACGATGCTGGCCAGGTTGGTATAATCCTCCTTCTCAACGCTGGAACTGATGGTCATACTTTTTTTCTTTGTCTGGAGAAAATCAACAAACATTTCGTCGCTTACATCCTTTGCCTTCTTTTTATAGTTGCAGTAGGCAACGAATTCCTCATGCAGGTCATTCACGTATTTGGTCATACTGCTGAGTTTTGTTGTATGGTCCGATGTCTTCCCCTCCACCTTGGTCGTCACTTTGTTGTACCCGATGGTGCACCCCTTGTCTAGGAGGTACGCCTTCAGTAGTTTAAAGTTCTGTTCGAAATTGTTCAGGTCCTGTCAGGGTGGAAAAAAAGAAAAAAAAAATGCGCGGAGTTTGTACATATGTGTGTGTGCATTGGAAGTGATCACTGCGGAAGGGGCAATTAACTCGTCGTTAGCGGTTGCTCCTTCGCCGCTAGCCTGTTGCCCCCTCGCCATTAGCTTGTTTCCCCTCTCCGGTATCTGGCCACTCCTCGGCGTACGCTTAGCACGTGAATGGAGAGTTTCTCCGGCTCGGCAGACGCCACGAGGTTGTCGTAAAAGAACTTGTGGTTATTCAGGTCAAAAAAGTCGACGGGGGCAGAGGACCCCTCTAACCCTCCACTGGCAGACGCATCGTCGCTCTCCGTCTCTTCCTCCCCCGCAGCACCGTCCGGAAAGATTGACTGAAGCCACAACCAAAACACAGCCCGTAGTTGTTCGACATGGAAAAGGTTCATCCCATTCTTATATACGTGACAGACTCTATTGTACAGTGCCGGATCATTCAGTAGGAAAAACTCATTAATAGATATTCTAGCGCTGAGAACATTTTCGTAATTCACATCGTCAAGTGGTTCTTCCTCTACGTTGTTGCTGTGGTTAACGGACTGTCCAGCACGATTGGGGGACGCCCCACCTCCTGCAGAGTTATGTCCTTTGCTCGGAAACACACTCGCTTTGTTGAGTCCCGTTTCATGTCCGCATAATTTATTCTTCACTTTCTCTCTGTCCCTTTCAAAATCGACTTGCACAGTGAACATAGCATTATGCATGAGATCCATTTTTTTGTTTTTACTCCCCAATGCTCTGGTCCTATCGGGGTACTTCTTTCCTTGAATAGAATTACTTAGGTCCTCCAATTCAGCAATGTTAACGACGACATTGTGTGGCTCCATGTAGGCACTCACCAGCGCGTTGAACTTGTGAAACAAGAGAAGTCGGTTTCTGTCCAAGTGCTGCATATGATTTATTCTCTGAGTTATTTTCCTCTGCAATTGTATCAACTGACTGCAATGTTTGTTAACGTTTCGTGTCAGCTCAGGGACATACATCTTGACATCGTCATCGGCGACCACGCGCAAATCGTCACTTCGGCTGCTTCGGTTGGAAGCACTTCCTGTTGAATCCCCCCCCGTTAGGTCTTCCAACCCTCCGGAACTGCGCCCATATCGATTGATGAAATTTTCTTGGTATGTTGCGTAGTCGTACGATACATATTCCTCTAAAGTGAGCTCCTCTTCCGTGGGAGTTGCATCCCCGTTGGGTGAATTACACCCCTCGGGTTCGACACAACCGTCTCGCACATTCGCAGTTATGCTTTTCCTCTCACTGAAGGGATCACTCCCCCGCTTTGCAGTCCATTTGGAGGTGCATTTTTCGGTTAACATGGTGTTCCTCCTTTTTAAATACTCACTTTCGGTATGTTCAGACCCCTTCATCTGTCTGTCACCTCCTCCATGGGTTCTACCTCTCTGCTCATACAAAAACTGGTACAGGAGTCTATACTGAAAGATTTCCAAATCGTAGGGTCGGTTCGAAAGCAGCAGCATGGCTTCATTTATTACGTGAAAGTAATCTTCTCCTTCCTCTTCTTCGTCGTTTGTCTTGTCTAGCGTTTTTTCCTGCATCCGGTTTGTTCTCTGTCGGGTAGAGGTACTTCGACCCCCCCCTGTGTTGCCAGCACCTCTAAGGTCCCGAAAAAAGAACTCATAAAATGGCTGCCTCTTATCATAGTGCACAAATAATTGGGTACAATCAATTAGGAACCCTATGCATAGGAGCAGTTCCTTACACATTTGAAAATGGCACTTGAGAAGGTGAAACAGCCTAGGGTACTCAAAATACTCCAGAAGAAGCACAGCCATGGGCGACACGATATTCAGATCGTCCACATAAGGAGCATTATCCATTCCTAGTTCTTCCACAAAGTTGTCTCCTTCGTTTCCGTCTTCATCATCCGTTTCGTCCGCATCGTCTGGGTGATCCGCCTCCTCCGCATCACTACGGTCGGTGCATTTTTCTCCCCAGGGAGTGTTCCCCACGTGGCCACTACCACGTGAACCCTTTGCACCTGAGGGGGGTCTGCCCGGTGTAGTACACCCCGAAGCATTCTTCCCCCTCGAGAATATTTCCCGTTCCACCCTGGAAATCTCTTTCTCTACGTAGGCGCTGTAGGTCGGTTTGAACCTCCTATTAAAGTCAAAACAGTACAGTAGGGACAAGTCATTAATGAGGAAGTTGTAGCAAATGATTACCTTCTTTCTCCTCTTCCCGTTTTTCTCGCACTTTCCTCTTCTCAGCAAATCCGCCGTTATGTAATCTATGCCAAAGAAATTGAACACTCTGCAAACGTGTTCTAGGCTCTCCTTGATTGAGATGTTCATGGGGTGTACAGGAGGTGATCTGTCTCACTAGGTTGGAGGTTCCGATAAAATTCTCGGTGCAATTAAAAGTACATGGAAGAGGCTATCCGGGGACTATGGTAAAAAAAAAAAAAAAGGGACCAAATTATGCAATTGCTCCTCAATGGGAAGAGGTGGCAGGGAAGAGTTCCTTTTTTTTATGGGGCATTTTTTTTTTCTCACTCAACTTGGGATGAGTTAGCACAAAAGAAAGAAGAGAAAAAAACAAATGGTGTGCCCAATGGAAGATCTGTTGCTAATCCGCCGCCTTCAAATAACCCAATTGGGAGAACATTGTGCATTTGCCAAGGCATCCAACAACGGAGTGGCGCAAAATTAAGCGGAGCAGGGGGTGAAACAAATTTCTACTCAATCTGGAGACCCATCTAACCGAAGTGAGCTTTTCACATGTAACACAAAAAAAAAAAAAATACAAAAATAGGAAGTAGCCCGATTTCGCCGCCTCTCAAAGGACGCCTTTGGAGACCGACCCCCTTTTTCTTTTGTCAAGGCGACTTTCGAAGCAAGCCGACGAGGCTGCTCTGTGTGCTGAGGTCAGCCAAAACTTTCCCTCAAAGTTAAGAAGAATCGAGATAATCAAATATACGTTCCATAATTGACACGCGAGCGAATTGACCATTCGATGGCAAGGTAAGAAAAAGGGTACTCACACCACGAAGAAGAAATAAGCATGGAGTTCTCCCTCATATCATCTGGATCCGATGCGGTAAAGCCAGGACAGAAAAAAAATGGAAAAGAGCAGGAAAAAAAGGAAAACCACCCCCTTTTTTCCCGTGTGCTCACTATTCCGAGTTTTACTTATTTAAGCCACGTGGCGCAGCATATAAGCCGATGAACACCTGAACATGGTATTCCATTTTTTTGCGTGTCTACATGGTGAGCAGCCTCCCCCCCATGATAACATGCATCATATCTTATGTTTATGCTCATGCTCTTTTTTTTTTTTTTTTTTTTTGCTCTACCCCATTGGGGTCATTCCAGAAAATTTACAAATGCGTTTTCATCGGAAAGGAGGCAGTGAAGAAGGAGATTTTCCGAAAATATTATCGACACAAAAAAATCGATGCGAAGATCCGAAAATTAAGAGTTTCTAACGAAATCAAATTCACAAAAAAGCTAGCCAGCATAAACATAGATGTACCAATTCTCTACTTTGTTGATGTGAATGAGAAAAGTCTGTATTTAGAATTTGTCAAAGGGTGCACCATTAATCAGATTCTTAAAAATGTAAAACAATACGAACCCAATATTCCTAGATGCATAGGCAGAGTACTAGCCAAAATACACAATGGGAATGTAATCCATGGTGACTTCACGACTTCTAACATGATTTTGAGAAACTCCTACATTGGTGATGGATGCAACGTTTTGGATTCCACCACCGGGTTGCCTTACCAGTTGGACGACGTTAACTCGATACGGCTCTGCATTATTGACTTCGGTCTGTCGTTCTTGTCTACCTCGGTTGAGGTGAGGCCAAGGGGGGATGGCACCGATTTCGGCGTGTACCTCCATACAGCTGGGCGTAACTTTTCTAAGCACCTTTGCGTGTACATTCGCGTTGGATCGCGATTGACGCGACATTTCTCATCCCCACTGCCGCACTCTCTGTAGGACAAAGCGGTAGACCTGTTCGTCCTTCTTAAGGCCATCAAAAGTTTCCACAGCGAGTTTGCGCTTCTGGTAAGATTAGCCATTTTGGTGTAGCATATATGAGTGAACAATTGGCTCGGCCTTAAGCTTCACGCCTAAATGTGTAACCTAATCACAGAATCATCATCATGATTATTATGAACCGCCTGACTTCCCGAACGTATCATACAGGAAGAGGACATCCTATCGGGGTACCAAACCAAATCAAACAACTTTGACGAAATAAAGAAGAAGTTAGAAATAGGTAAGACCATAGTTGGATGCATCACTTTACACGATATTAGATACGACCATATGTTAAGCCGCATTACCTGTGGCACCCTTTGTTCCATCTTTCCCCATTTTGCTATTTTTTCTCTTCCTTCCTGCTTCAGTCAAACAGAGGGGGCGCAAGAGACCCATGGTTGGATAGAATCCCCGTGTTCAGCACGCAGAGGGAGAAGTAAGCGGGACAGTTGACCCTTCCATCTGGATTCCCACCTCCATGAGGATGACTCCTCAGGAAGGAAACGCGTTTTTTTAAAATAAATTCAGCCTTTTCGCCCCCCACCCCCTGATGGTTCTCTCATCCATTTGCGCCACTTGGGAAGTGTTTCCTTTCTGGTGCATTTCACGATTTTTTTAGACCCATTTTTTTTTTTTAGTGTACTTTGGTGGAATACACTTGGGGGCACTTAATTCATTGGTTAACATACAAACAATGCTCTCACTCCGTAGTTATGTCTTTGTGTTTGCATACGTGGTAACTTATGCTTTTGCTCCCCATAAACAGGAGTTGCTTTCCCTGTTGATGGACTTGACACGGAAAAGTCACCGCCATACGCTCCTTTCATTTTAAGCAAACAAATAAACGAGGCGTCCTTCGTACCTACGTCTGCTGAGCAGAAGTACGAGGTAGTAAAATAAACGCGCCAAGAAGGGAATGAAAAAGGAGAATTGGAAGTGTACGAAGCTTCTGCTAACATTTTCGTGTTGCCAAGTTAGGGGATGGACAACACACAAGGAGGTATTTTGTCTCATGTGCTGCTAAACAAAGGCATCCATAAAAAAACACAAGCGAAGTTTTTAAATTGTTTTTTTCCTTTCCAATGAACCCATGTGTGGGTACTACACGTTTGCCATTTTGACGAGTGTTCTGTCGGTCAGGGGAAAAGGCCCTGCGTTCATTTGCAATACGTTTTTTTTTTTCTTTCCGAAACATTTGTTGCATATGGGAGACCTTGTGACGAATTCAAAATTTGGGAAGTAGGGGCCTCTTTCCCCCGCTGGGGATTTTTATTTCCATTTGGGACAGCAGCACACGTGGAAGGTGCAACCATACACTGGGGACACTTGTTCCCACTTGGAAAAAAAAAAAAAAAGATACCCATATATGCAAGCAAAAAATGTGAATGCCAACATGGACTTTGTCCCTCGCCCAAATTAATACATCATTACGTAAGTTAAAACTTATATGCGGAAAAAACGTGCTGTATTTTTTCTATACTGGTAATTTCTTCTGGGTGAGGATGCGTGTTTTTTTTTTTTCTTTTTTAGCCCCTACTGATGCATATGGCCCTATATATGCACGTTTTTCTCTTACATTGTGTATTGGAGAAATGGGGCTGTAACGCTATCACAGTAGGGGACAGGCCCTCGGCCGCAGTTGACGGGGCTACGCGCCTAAACGGATAAATGCTCCCCGGGGGTATCCTCTCCCCCAATGTGGTAGAGGGTACGTATGCCACACTGGTGGTGATGAAATGCAAAAAGGGGAAGTATAAAGAGAAAAAAAAGAAAAAAAGCGGGTTTGCTTCCACTCGAGGGGAGTAAAGGGGGGAGAGGGTCGAAAAGCTGATGGAGGAGGGGGCCGAATAAATTTGCCTCATTCGCATTTTAAGCCGCTACAAAAAAAAAAAAGAAAGGGGCTTAAAGGTACAGCAAAAATGGAGGAAAAAAATCCTTTCTTTGATGCTTACTCCTCCGAAGAAGAATAGCCTGAGCGAGCTGTTGATTGAAGATCTCTCCCCCCAGACGTTGGTACAACTGCAGGAGGGGAACTGCCTGGTCGCTCAGCCGCTGGCAAAACACGGTGTGCAATTTTTACAAGGATACGACGCGCATAGAAAAATACATAGAAAAAAATATATAAAAATATATATAAAAAAATATATGTAAAAATATAGAAAAATATATAATAAAATATTCTATACAAATATGCATATATAAATATGCACCTATATACTCATTTGTATGGGTGGCATCTGGAAATGGTCCCCGGCGGGGCATACAGGTAATATGCCTGATAGGTGGATACGGCTAGGGGGTAGGTGCATGTGCAAAATGATGCAGCCCCAGCATCGCCCCGCCCTGACCACCACGACGAATCAATCGCATCTATTGCAGCCATCGCTTCGTGTAGAAGTATAACAAAGTATGCCTGAGAAATACGGACCCTATGAGCTGGGCAAACAGCAGCCCAAGGAGAGATTAAAATATATAACCACTCCCCTTGGAAAGAAAAAAAAAGGCCCCGTGTGAAGGGGCCATTGGAACCCATTGACGCTTGTTTTTTTTTTTTTTTTTTTCGGTTGGCATATTCTCATGAGATTAGTGGTAAGAACACAATAATTTTGTGTCGTGGGCTATTTAAAAAATTTAAAAAAAAATAATAAAAAATAAAATAAATTAAAATAAAAATATATATAATCACATTAAAGAGGTCAAAACGAATTAAAAAAAAATACCTACTTCACCTACGCCGTGAAAAAAAAAACACTTTTTCGCAATTTTTCCAATTAAACAAATTAAGGAAAAAAGAAAAATAAAAAAGTTACGCCAAAGTGAGAAAAACGCAAGTAAGCGTAAACACCAGAATCGCGTACCGCGCTGCATTGTGCCAAATTGAGCAACCCCCCCTACCTTTGAACGAATTTTCCATCCGTTCGCGAGCCTTTTCCTCATAAGGAAAGAAACCCAACAGGTACGCCAAAGAAAAGTGAGATATGATGCAGCGTGACCAAAGAGAGGAGAGGGCTTTTCCATTTTAACAATTAAAAGGGCTCTATCGCATTGTCCCAGTTGCTTCGCCCCAGTTGCACGGCGAAGGAGCAGTAGAACCGCCTGCATCTGAATATCGCGCTAGAGAGAGCGATTCTACATCCCGTTCGTAACGACTGAAAGAGGCCGTGCATGTGGTCGGTCGAGCAAAATGTTTAAGCCCCCCCACCATATGCTAAGAAAAGGATTGCACCAAAGAGGGAAAAAAATTATTCGATGATAACGACCGCGGAGTGGAAAAACTCTCCTTTTTTAGGGCGCGTTCACCAAAATAGTGGAACGAAAGAGGGGCGAGCAGGAAGCGCAAACGTATGATTATGCCGATACATACTATACCCACTGTTCTCTTTGTCCCCCCACGACTCACTCATGTTTGCTTCTTTCTGACCCCACCTCGCAGACAAGGAACCTCTCTTCACCTCGCCACTCCACTTTATCCACCCTGCTAGTCCAAAATGTCAAAGGAAACCTTCGCATTCAATGCCGATATCAGGCAGTTAATGAGTTTAATCATTAACACGTTTTACAGCAACAAAGAAATTTTCCTGAGAGAACTTATTAGCAATGCAAGTGACGCTCTGGACAAAATCAGATATGAAGCGATCACAGACACACAGAAGTTGTCCGCTGAGCCGGAATTCTTCATTCGAATCATCCCCGACAAGACCAACAACACTCTGACGATTGAAGATTCAGGTATTGGTATGACCAAGAATGACTTGATTAACAATTTGGGAACGATTGCTAGGTCAGGAACGAAGGCCTTTATGGAGGCGATTCAAGCCAGTGGGGACATTTCTATGATTGGACAATTCGGTGTCGGTTTCTACTCGGCCTACCTCGTTGCAGATCACGTTGTTGTTGTGTCCAAAAATAATGACGATGAGCAGTACGTCTGGGAGTCTGCCGCTGGTGGCTCCTTTACTGTCACCAAGGATGAAACGAATGAGAAAATGGGAAGAGGTACCAAAATTATTCTGCACCTGAAAGATGACCAATTGGAATACCTCGAAGAGAAAAGAATTAAAGACCTAGTGAAGAAGCACTCTGAATTTATTTCCTTCCCAATTAAATTATATTGCGAAAGACAGAACGAGAAGGAAATCACCGCATCGGAGGATGAAGTGGATGATGAAGATGCTGATGGAGAGAAGAAGAAAGAAGGAAAGGACCAACTTGAGGATGGAGAAAAACAAACGCAAGAAGGAGAAGATGCTGATAAGGAAAAGAAAGAACATAATGAGGAAGATGAAGACAAAGAAAAAGGAGATGACCATCCCAAAGTGGAAGACGTAACGGAAGAGCTAGAAAAAGCTGAGAAAAAAAAGAAGAAGGAAAAGAAAAAGAAAAAAATACACACCGTTGAACACGAATGGGAAGAATTAAACAAACAGAAGCCTCTCTGGATGAGAAAACCGGAAGAAGTCACAAATGAAGAATATGCTAGCTTCTACAAATCTTTGACGAACGATTGGGAAGACCACTTAGCTGTGAAACATTTCTCTGTTGAAGGACAGCTAGAATTTAAGGCACTTTTATTTATTCCTAAGAGAGCCCCGTTTGATATGTTCGAAAATAGAAAGAAACGAAACAACATCAAATTGTATGTCCGACGTGTTTTTATCATGGACGACTGTGAGGAAATCATCCCTGAGTGGCTTAACTTCGTCAAGGGTGTTGTCGATTCGGAGGACTTGCCACTCAACATCTCAAGAGAGTCCCTACAGCAGAATAAAATTCTAAAGGTTATCAAGAAAAATCTCATCAAGAAGTGCCTCGACATGTTTTCTGAGCTCGCCGAGAACAAGGACAACTACAAGAAGTTCTACGAGCAGTTCAGTAAGAACTTGAAGCTGGGAATCCACGAGGATAATGCGAACCGTGCAAAGGTAGGTTTTTCATCTCTGTGCAGAGGAAGAGGCACAGGAGAAGTGGTGTAGCGGAGGCGGTGCAGTGGAAGAGGTGCAAAGGAAGTGGTACTGCGAAAGCTGCTCAGCGGAAACGACGCGGCTGCTTGCCAGATCAGCACGCCCCTGTCCATTTGCCCCTCTTCTGTACCCCTTCCCACGGACCGACCCAAATTTAATTACATGCACGTGAAACCCAGAGGGGAAAACACGTGCATGTCCAGACGTTTGGGAAAACAACTCGGGAGCAATTACACTCGTAATCACGCGGGGTGTTATACTCCGCTGATTAGTCATCGAGTGAATTGTCTTCTTTTTCCTGGCTCGCTTATCACCTTAGCATGTGTTTATTGTTTGCCCCTGTTGTGTGTGTTTGTGGATTTGTGGGTGAGGGGGCCTCTTGGATGAGCAGCAAATTGGGGGCAGACTTACAAGACGATCTTCGTTTAGTGTGTTTTGCCCCTTCTTTGCTACTTAGCCTAACCCTCTCACGCACCCACCCACAAGACACACATACACGGGTAAATAAGACGGCCGCGTGGCCACGACAATTAAACACATTGAGTCATGGAAGCGTAACAGAATTTACCTCCGCAGTGCGACAAATTCGCTCCCACTGCTTCGTTGCTTTGTTTGCACCATCACCCACTCATTTGGTAAGGTTGCCCTTCATACATGTCCCCACTTCTCTCTTTTTCGCCTCTCTTTCTACAGATCACCGAGTTGCTCCGATTTCAAACCTCCAAATCCGGCGATGAAATGATAGGACTCAAGGAATACGTGGACAGAATGAAGGAGAATCAAAAGCATATTTACTACATCACGGGTGAATCCATAAACGCGGTGTCGAACTCTCCATTTTTGGAAGCTCTGACCAAGAAAGGGTTCGAAGTGATTTATATGGTTGACCCGATTGATGAGTATGCAGTACAGCAGCTAAAAGATTTCGAGGGAAAGAAATTAAAGTGCTGTACCAAGGAAGGTCTCGACATTGACGATTCTGAGGAAGCTAAAAAAACCTTCGAAACGATGAAGGCTGAATATGAAGGTCTATGTAAAGTCATAAAAGATGTGCTCCATGAGAAGGTAGAGAAAGTAGTGGTTGGACAAAGAATCACCGATTCACCATGTGTCTTGGTTACCTCTGAATTTGGCTGGTCAGCAAATATGGAAAGAATTATGAAGGCGCAAGCGTTAAGAGATAACTCCATGACTAGCTATATGTTGTCGAAGAAGATTATGGAGATCAATGCACGCCATCCAATCATCACTGCATTGAAGCAAAAGGCAGACGCGGACAAGTCAGACAAGACAGTAAAAGATTTAATATGGCTTCTATTCGACACTTCTCTGTTGACTTCTGGATTTGCCCTCGAGGAACCCACGACGTTTTCCAAGAGAATCCACCGAATGATTAAATTGGGTCTGTCCATCGATGAGGAAGAAAACAACGACATTGAGTTGCCACCCTTGGAAGAGAGCGTCGACGCGACTGACTCCAAGATGGAAGAGGTCGACTAAACTAAACCTTCTGCGTCGAACTTTTCATCACGCGACAAAAATGGGTACGCTGCTCAACTTGTCTTGTTTTCGAATCATTTCATGAACCCGCGAAGCAAAAGAGAGGCACAAAAAACACACGTGTTGTGTCTGCATTCAGATTTAGAGAAAGGGGCCACGTCGTGGGAAAGGGGTTAGCGAGTACCGCCGCGCGGCTGGTCATTTCGTTGCACCCTTCACCCACGCAGCCCCCTTTTCATCTTAACCATGCTCCCCCTCTGCACGTTACCCTGCACGTTACCGTTTCGGAACACCTGGCAGGGTGGAAAGCACGTATAG